TTGTCCCTGGGTTTGTTAACACCATTACTCTTCTCCCCACCTCCCCCTCTCCCATGTGCCCCCGGAACTGTCGGTCCCTTCTTTTCTCCTCCAGATTGTTCATCCAGCCTATGTTATTTAGACAGACCTGCAGAGATAGTATCATGCACAAAAAAGAGCAAAACCAAGCAACAACATAAAATAAAACAACAACAATAACAAACCAATGCTACAAAAACAAAACACAACAAGAAAGAAAAGCTTGTAGTTAGTTCAAGGACTGTTTGTTGGCCTTTAGGAGTGTTTTCCAGTCCCTTCTGTTGAGGCACCAAGTCTTGACTCCAAAGTCCACCTTCGGCATTCCCTGGGGACCTCACCGCTCCGTTCCCTTGCTATTTTGTTGTACCCCCTTAGTGTTTTGCTTCGGTGTGGCGGTATCAGATCGGGTGCACTTCACACACTGTGTCTCCAGTGTTGTCCCCTGTAGGGCTATGGGTCAGTGAGGGAGGTCGTGCCTCATAGTGGGGCCGGCCATGTGGTCCTCTCTGTGGACTGGCTGCTCTGAGCGGGAATACCGTCAAGGCCTGGTGGGCCAGGATGTGCTCCACACTCTCCTCCTCCCCCTTCATCTGCTCTCGTGAGCTCCAATCAGACATGTCCCTTCTTGGAGCTGCAGATTCAGTGCTGTCCTCTGAAATGAATTATTCTTGGGGGAGGGGCATGTGTCTACGTAGTTGGGATTGGGCCGGCCCCTCAGACCTCTCCACTGGTTCCCTGCTCCATGCCAGCATGTTGCGTTCACACCATGGAGCACTCGATTGAAGTCTGGTCCCTCTTTCCCTGTGGAGATATAAACAATACCCTCTCCTTGGGTGGGTTAGTGCCCTGTGCATCCACTACCCATTTCTTTTTAAATTTTTTTCTCCTTTCCCCACCTTCTTTTTAGTTGGCTACCATATGTATCCCTGGATTTGGTCTGGTCTCTGCCATACTACCTTGTAGTATTAAGTTAAAATGGCGAGGAGGTGGGGGGCCAGCCCCCACTGCTAATCGCGGGTTCAGTAATACTACTTCTGGGTTCAGTAATGCACAATTGTACGGTTGTGATATATAAGTATTATATTAAAATCATCGAGCGCATGAGAGATATTACAATAATACAGGTAGACACATTACATGGTAGCATTGCTCACCTCAGCCCAGCTTGGTGGTCCACGTGGAGAGAGGGGGAAGGGAAAGGAGGGCAAGGGAACAAGGAAGAGGGGACTGACCAGGGAGTGAGCAGCAAGGATCGAGGGGTCGGAGTCCGAGAGCTCTCTATTGCTGACCCATGCCTATATACCTTTTGGGGGCATGCCAGCCCACTCATTACAGGTAGAGACGTATGTCACAGGGAGGGGTTGCACTATAGGTTACACAGCAATGAGGGGGTGGTCTCTGGGTCTTCTTAGGAACCATTATCAGTAGGGTGAAAACTCCGCCTACAGGAGCCTGTCCACTGTCCCCAGAGGCAGGGAGCGGGCCCACCCCTGTGGTGGGATGAGACAGCAGTCTGGCAACTGATTGCCCTCAGTGGGGGGGAATGCCTGCGCATCTGACCTCCCCCCACACTACCTGGTCCTCACCCCAGGAATGTTTGTATGCAGTAGCTTTTTCCCTATGCCCCTTTTGCATTTTTTTTTTAAAGCTTACCTCAGCAGACTCATGTTATACTTGTCCTTTTGTGCTAAGTTTTCAACACTTGATTAGTTGCACTAACCATTATGTTTTCCCAACACTGTGTTCCTGTATGTAATGAACTGATGGGAAAAGATAGATAATGGTGCCAGTTTAAACTATGACAAATTTCTAGTTTCCAGTCATAAGTCTACATCCTTTGGGAATCCTCTAATATAAAAGTGTATAACCTAAGCATGCCAGTAGCTCCCCACTCACCCCCTAGTGGTATGAAGTCATTTGTTGAAAGAAGAAAGGTGAAGGGTATGGACATGGGTGGCATTGAACAGGGCAGGCACAACACCGCCCCACATGCTCTTTCAATATCATTATTTTGAAAGTTACCATATTCTTTTTCTCGCAGAGGGTGACTTGTAGCCATATTGATTGAATTGTGTGATCAGCTGAAATACTGCTCTGGTCTGTCAGCTCCATCTGTTTGTACTTAGGCCTTGATCTTGAGCTATGATTGAGGAAGACCATCAAGAACGGGGAAAGACAGTGAATGTGAAAGCCTGTAGTTGCATCCTAACAGTAAATAGCCCATCCCTAAAATCGTAAAGGGAAAGCCAGCAAAGCCTTCAAACCCCATGCAGAGGCTGTGTCTTTTGAAACTTTCAAGGCCGATTCCTTCCTGTGGTAAGACTGAACTTTTGAGATATTTCTGTTTCTATGGAAAGACTGTGGCTTATGCAAAGGACTCTTCTTTAGGTCTAGTGCTTTCCAGATTTAGTCCTAGGAGTGGAGGTAAAATAGAAGAGCACGTAACATTTTCTCTGAGATTTCTAGAATATATGAGGTTGAAGATTTGTGCTAAAACTAAGTCTTTAAGCCCCAGTTTAAAGAGACAAAGTTGGCATTTCGGAAAGCAAGTCAGAGATCAACAGAAAGATGGGGCTGTTAAGATCAAGCTTTTTTCCAAGTCAGACATAAATTTGTTGACCAAGATTTTTGTATTGGTTATCAAGTCTCTTGTTTTCCTAGATTTTGCCATATTTAAGATCTGCATTTAAAACAATGTTAACAATCAGCAATAAAACAA